GGCCTTTGGTGTCCTTAACTTATCCACTATATTGTATAACATGTCTATCAAATTACATGTTTAACATTTGGCAACAACTCAGTTTCAAGTTAAGGTTCACGTTGCATCAAAATAAGCAAACATGAAATTAAAACAGTTTGATTGAAGCTGGTTTAAAGCTGCACTTTAATTAAACATTAAATTGCAAGAAAAAACACAATGAATTCACAACTACACAACCATCCCCATGGCCTCGAACTATCAAGTTACCTACTGTACTTCCAAGATAATTGGACATGATGCAACAGTTGATTCTATTACTTAGTCCAATATTCGCTTTACTTTTAGCTCATTGTTGGTCTCCACCAGTGTATGATAAAGAACAAGTGAAAGTCTATTATTGCTTCTCTGTGTTAAGAGCAACTCACTTACTTTTCTTTATGTTTCATAAATTGTGTTTATAAGGCTGAAGACGTTGATTAGGCACCTTAGACGCAACCAATCCAAATTTGGGACAGTGCAGCCATATAATGAACTAAAAGACACCATCATTTAGTCACATGACCCCTACCTCTTCTTTCACAGTCAAAATTGGGATTTACACCTATTTTGTTTTCATGTTGTGACACGATAAAGCCTTTTAAAGTCAAACTCAGACTCAACAGCAGGCATAAAAGGCCAACAGATGCCCAACATAAAGGGGAAGAAAAACAGAAGGAGAGAGCGAGATTAAAAATGAGATGCAGGGGATTATCAAAGGGCATGACACAGAAGATTATTCTGGTGTGTATACACTGGTGACACCAGTGTAAGGTCACCAAAAGAAAACTGCCAGTCCAGCAGACAAACATAAAAGACAAAAACAAGATAACAAGAAGAAGAGCGCACACAGTTTAGCACACTCAGGCTGCACATGAAAGCGGCTCTCGTACTGGCATTCTGTAAGAAGTTATTTCATTGTGCATCCTTGTTATTTAGCCTTTATAGAGGGATTGACCTGCTTACATCTGTATGTGTTTAAAGTAAACACAGTGATCTTTGCTCATATTATCCTCTGAGTACCATTTGTCAGTATTTACAGATGGTCCAAGATTGAGATTGAGATTCACCTTGCCTTTGGTTTAGCAGCTTAGTAATTGACACTGGGGGAGAATCATTTGTTTATTAGTAGAAATCATGAAAGCACAGATGTAATGCTATGTTATCAGGTGACTCTTACCTTAGTGTTTTATCATCACTTGTATGGGGCTAACCACGGCTTTAATGATAGAACAGTGAAACAATTGAGATGAGAGGTGATTAAAAAAAACTCAACATTTGGTTAGAAATCTTGATTATTTCCAATTTAACAGACTAGGGAAGACTCAAGGCTCAATTCCCTCTAAAGAGATCAAGGTCTACAAAAGAATCAAGGTCCTGGGAAATGGCAGCACTAGCATCAATTTGTGCTACAGCCTGGATCTAGTCAGGGACACAACTGAGAGGGCAAAGGCGCTGGAGCAGATCACTCCGCCTGGACTACAGCCCGGGTGATGGAGTAGAGGCCTGGATTCTTCCGGACACGAACAGCTCAGGTCAAACATGGGTTATGGAAAGACTCAGGGGTCACAATGCAACATCTACCTAAACCACACAAAGCCAGCTTTTCATCCACTCTCTGGCCATCCCACCAAGTCCATAATTGTCTTTGACAAAACTCATTAGCGGAGACCTTGTAGCAACATCGGCAATCAGAAATTCCATGGAGGGAGACATGCACAGAAACAATGTCCCACACACATTTCATTGCGCCTTTTGACAAAATGTAATGAAGTGTGTGTATGGTCCCCCTCAACTGAACCCTGAGCCACTGCGACAAAGACTTTGTTTTATGAGCCCGGGCTGCCCAGCGTGGGACACATCAAATGGCACCTCCATGCTGCTTCTTTAGTCAGACCAGAGGGCAAATTATTGTTTGAGTTGTTGTTGTTGTTGTTGTTGTTGTTATGGCTCCTATTTATTTGAAGGGGCCCTCGCTATCGTGTCAGAATAATTCATATTATACTACATCAGAGGCACATGCTCATTAAGAGGGGGCCTAGATGTAAAGTGCACATGTGATGGATGCTCCTGACAGAGGTTAACCTCTCATTGACCTTTAGTATTATATCCTACCAAATACCACTGTAACAGTGTCAGCGCCTTTAAGACCATGGTTAAGAGTAAAAGCAACAAAAACAACAAATGTTTGAAACAAGGCCATGTCATGCTCATATGCTTCACTTCAGTGTCACTCAAACAGGGCAGGCTTACCTATGACTCATATTAGGGATGGGATTATTCAATCCCACTATTATTTTTAAGTGTGCTGTATATTTCATATTTCAGTTACATGTTGGCATTAAGCCGACACATGTCTTCAAGATGTCGAGCAAAAAAGAAAAAGGAAGAAACACGTGGAGCTCTACATAACTGGGATCACTGCATGCACTTCACCCAGACATTTCAGCTCAAGTGAAATTAAACTCAGATGAATGATTTTACAGTACTGGCAAAGAAATTGTCTCAGAATTTCTAGAATGTACACATAAAGCCTAATAGTTCTCTGCAGTCCATAAAAGTCCCTTTACAAAAGAAAAGATGAGTGTTGTGAATTTGTTAATTTTGTATTGTAATAGGGTGATGGTTACATGACTAGATTCTTAGAACATCACTCCTTGCCTAAGTGAAGGTGTGATTGTAGTTTCTATTAACCCTTTACTACCTCTGCATATATATATATATATATATATATATATATTTTAAAACTGAGAGCATGTACAGACAAACTTTAACATGACTTGTTAGAGAAGTGTTAACTTCAAACTTATTTTAAAGCTATAAGTTACAATACTTCATCTTTACTTTTTACTACTGCTATTCTGAACATTGAATGTCCCACCTTTTTGGGATAGACTGAAAAAAATAGCAGACCGACACTTCATATGTTGAGATTTTTTCACCTCTGTGATTACAATACAATGGTGCCCCACTCCTGACAGTCGGCTGACCTGTTGACTTGAAAAGAGCAGAGGATGGTAGCAGCGACTTAGTCCAGAAAAGAGCAATGACCCCTGACAATAGAGGAGGAGGAGGGGGGTCCACTGAATGTGCACTTCTGGAGGTGTTTGTTAATGACAGACATATGAGTATAAAGACACCCTCTGATTGAATACAGGAGACACTCAAAGATTAAAGATGTCAAACCTCTTTAAGGATTCATGTTTATCACAGCTTGTTTTTCTTTTCTTTTTTGAATATCTGGGCCTCAGTCACAGCTTATCTAAAATCTGTTTTGGATTATGCAAACATGGCTTGTAGGCGCACCCATCATCGAGCCCCCCCCCCAACACAAAAATGTAATTTACAAGGAGAAGGGTGTGTATTAGGGAGATTAAGTTGCGCATAATATAGGCTACCTATGGAAATTATTATTCCCTAACATTGTACTTTGCAACAGATTTCATGTCTCGCCTCAGATTAAGAATGTCAGACAAACAAAAAAAGTATTGTGTTTGCCCCCTCCTGCTGTGTCCTCCAACACCAAAAACACCCAAATGAAATCTATTTATTATCCCTCCTTCCTCACTTCGGAGTAAATCTTGGTTGTCTCCTTGTATTATAGTATCTGTGAATAGCATTAGTGTAGTTTCTAATGTGTGGCAGCTGCTGATGTGTGTCTTGATTGTCTCTGCTGTGTGTGGGACAGACTAATTGACCTGTTAGCTGCTATATGAGCCCATCATGGCCATTATCTCTGCTTTCCCCCAGGTAGCCCACGTCTCCACGGTGCTAATCCCATTGCGCATGCATCATTACCTTCAACAGCATAAGGCAGTTTTTTTTTTCTTTACAGCTGAAGATTTAATTAAATTTAGTTGTAAATATTTGATGCACACATATACCCTATATTTTCATGTAAAGAGCAGCTCGTCAGGCGTCAGGACTGATTACTGCTGAGGAGAAGGAGGAGGAGGAGGAGGAGGAGGAAGAGAGAGGCTCCCTGTTAGCAGCGCGTCATTAACAGACGGACAGCTACTGCATCTGTATAAGTAAAATCTTTGAATTTAGATTCATTTTAGGGGGAGTGAACCTTTTATCCTTAATATATTAAGCTAAACATAATTTTTATTCATAATTAAGGACTACTTTTATTAAGACTTGCTTCACTTCCTAAATTACCACATTGACTCTCCTATAGGTCCTTTCTGATTAAAGAAATATGTCATCAACAGCCTAGGATGCTACCAGCTATATGTGTCCTTTTTTTTAGTTTTTATGAAAATGAAATGCATCAAATGAGAAGTGAAGATTCTCAAAACAGTTTTATTTTGCATTTTATAAACCAGATTAAAACATGTTTTGTGTTTCGTTCCTGCCATCAGTGTCACGCAAATCTTTTATTAGGTCTCAGATAATAAGAGGGGATAAAATTGAACCAGTAAAAAAAAAAAAAAAAAAAATCTAAATAGGCCTAAGTTATTATTTCTGACCTTCCTCATCCTCGTCGTGTATTTGACCGGATTTAGCAGCTCCGTGCATCACGGACAGCTCTGCCTTTGGCCAAGGACGCACAGAGTGGACCAGGCGCCTCTCGACTGAGCCTGAATTGCGCAAAAGACTTTTATTACAAGCGTAATCCCAATAACACGACCTCAAATGACTTAAGAGAGGTTGTTGACTGTTTGCAGGTATTGAATAATAAAATTTAAATCTTAAAGCCTGCAGTGCTGATGTTGAAGTAAATCCTCTGGCGTTAGTAATAATAAGTGACTCTAGTATAAAACACAAAAGAAGAAGAAGGAGCAAATAACTCAATGCAATATTACAAAACAATAACAATGATATTACGTACATGTAAAAGCCTGTCTCTCTTTTGTTTTGGCAATTCAAAATCTTTGTAAAGGAACAAGATGTGGTGGATTTATGAAGCTTGATATGTCCGGCGGATTGTGTAGCGGAATTGTGCGTCAAAATCAATATTCCAACCGCAATTAGTTCAAGCTGCCTCCTTAAGTTGTTTTCAACTAAACTATTTGATTTGAGAAGTTAGAAATGTGAGGATCAAAAGTTTTCAGACTGTCAGGAGGCATCTGTACAGTGATCATCTTATTACAGATGTCTGCAGAAGATTCACCAAAGTTAGCCTTTAATGAGATGGACTAAGGGCAAAACAAGCGAATCAAAGAGACTTTGATGGACCATGTGAATTTCCCTGCCGGGTTTGATCCTACAAATGACCTTTTAATGAACACAATGTTAAGTTAGTGCAGCGGCTCGCTACACAGGGGACAAAGCAGCATTCATCCTGTGTTTCTGCCTCGTTGCTCGGTCTGAACAGTAACAAAGTGTTTGATGCCACTTGTGATTAGACGCTGACAATGGAGAGATGATGTCCCCTTTCTTCCACAACTTGTGGATTTCACTCACGTCCTCCTGTGAGTTATGACCCTCCATCAGCGCCGTGTCGAGTCAAGATGAGAAACTTTGATCAAATGCACATCTGCAAAGCTTTTAATTGGCTCTAAAAATAACCACGAAACAGAGAAAAAGGAGAGCTCTTGGAAAAAAGTGTATTCTTAGAAAAAATGTCATGAATAGCAAAAAAATAAACACACACACACACACACACACACACGGAAGAAGCTTACACTGAAACACAATGACAACAAAAAAAAAACTGTTCAGGTCCACGCGCAACACAGGAGGATCCACTCCTTATATGGTCAACGACAATTTCTCTTTTACATCAGGCAAAATGACACAGAGCCACAGTAAAAAGCAACATGTAACGAACCACGTAAAGAAGATCAAACACATTAAATAACCAACGAACAGACAACATAACCAAATAATAATAAATACACACAAAATAAATAGGGTTGCTGAACACTACAGGATTGCCTGACACAAATTTGGCCGTTTTATTTTTTGAAATCTTGGCCAACCTCATCCCTTTGCATCTAGAATTTTTGCATAAAGTCTTTAACACTGTAGGAAACAAAGTTGTGCAAAATGATAGCCACGTTCAGTTTCACAGCTCCCACTGCTGCAGCAGCGCCAGGTAGCTCCCATTTAGAGTCCACTGCATGGCCAGTGTGTCCTTAAGTGCATAAAACATGTCCCTTTTTTATGGTGGTGCAGACTGCAGCAATCTAGGAGAAAAAAGACATGAAGAATTAAAAAAAAGGCCCCAAATAGGAAGGATTAAGCTGACATTTAAAGGTATTTAATTAAGAAAAATAAAATAAAGGTTTATAGCTCATGTGTGTTAACTGCAATAGAAATATCAATACTTGTATTTTGATGGCTGTTATTGCGTATAAGTACTCACTTGTACATTTAGTGTTGTACAAATTTGCAATCGCAATAGGTCAATAAAATACAATTTAGCCACACATATTTAACAAAATAATAGTGAATAAAGGTTGATACGATCGCCCTTGTTCACATGTAAGTGTTGGTGTATGGTGTTACTTTGTGTCTCGTGTATGTGTTTGTGTGTTGGGATATGTGTGTGTGTGTGCGTGTGTGTGTGGTAACTTCACTGATTTCTTCCAGTTCAGTGCAAACCCTCACCTGCTTCACCTCTTCATCACTGGTCTGAACGCAGTGACCTTGTCATCCTGCACGGTCCCGCAGGCTTCACTGAGGTCAGATGGCTGTGTCTCTACTTTGCCACCAGAGAATCCTGAACACACCACACACAAAAAAAAAAAACACAGAAAGTTGCTTTAGATGTAAGATGGGAGACTTTAAAATAGCCTATTTTTTTTTTTGCAATACAGCTAGGCAATGATATTTCCTGTCACTACATCAGTCTGTCACCAACAGAAAACCTCTAAGCTGGGAGATTTAAGATCAGTAAAATCCTTTAAATATGTAAAACGTTGCATGTATAGGAGGACATACCTTCAATAGTAGAGTACTGGCATGTTTCTGGGAGTGCGGCATAGGATGAGCAGTGGAGTTGGAGGTCTTTGTGGCTATAGCTGCCTGTGCCGTAGACCTTTGAGTGCAAGGACGAGCCCTCGGGAAAGGGGCTCTCAGTGTTGGTCACATTGCTAGATTCATGGAGGCCCCTGATGCCACCACACTGTCCAGCAGGAGCTCCACTAAGCCTGGAGCTCTGAAGCTGGCAGTCCCCGCTCGAGTTTCCTGCCCTCAGCTGCTCAGAGTTCTGCTGCTGAGGGCTCAGTATGACCCCAGAAGCCGCCGTGCGAGCCAGAGACCAAATCCTCGGCTTATCGGATGCCTCGAAGTGGGACAAGGACACTGTTCCTGTGAGGCCAGCCGAGGAGGCTGCCTTGGACACTACCGGGTCCAGGAAGTCAGATGGGAGAGGAGGGAGGGCGGTTATGCTTTTGATGGCGCAGGGAAACGTGTGGAAACTGTTGGTTAAACTCAGGTGCAAATCTGAGCTGCAGTCTCTCTTTTGTGGGTTTGCAGACACAGCCATGGCCCTGTGGAGTTCCTGCTCTTCTGCTGCCGCCTTCTCACAGTCACTGTCCAGCTTATCACAGTCATCCTCGTCCATATCGTCCAGATCACTCAGGTGCAGATCCTTCTCCTCCTTGCAATCGCTAGAATCTGCATGGAAGAAAGTGTTTTTAGGAAACGCTGATTATAATGTTGCCCAGTTTAAATCTATATACAAAAATGAAGTTTAAAAAAAACAGGTTTTTTTCATGGGACCTACTTCTTTTATTTTAACTTTTACCTTTTAGGAAACTTTTTTTTATCACAGGACCTACTTCTTTTATTTTAACTTTTACCTTTAAGGAACAGTTTCTATCTAAATTTGGTGTTCATTACCATATTCTAACTCTGACACTAATGAAGTGCCATCATAAAGCTCACAAATGATTTACCTTTGGTGACACAGTCCTGTTCGCTCTTGTTGAGGTCATCCTTCCTGTCATCGCCGGCCTTATTCTTTGGGGACCAGGTCATCTTGTTCTCCTTCTTTAGCCTCCTCCTGGCGTTGGCGAACCAAGTGGACACCTGGGTGAGGGTCATTTTGGTGATGATGGCCAGCATGATCTTCTCGCCCTTGGTGGGGTAGGGGTTCTTACGGTGCTCATACAGCCATGTTTTCAGGGTGCTGGTGGTTTCACGGGTCGCGTTCTTTCTTCTGGCTGTGCTGTTAAAATCTACTGTCCCGTATCTGGAAATTGAGAAACACAGACAGTTGGGAGTTAGTGAAGTTAATTTACGATTCACTCAGACACCTGCGTTGTTTGAAATATTAAACAGATCAGTGAAGGTATAAGCATGGAGTCACACTCTGACCTTTTATCTATTTCCCCCTGTGAACGGCTGCTTTTAATGTACAGAGATGGAAAACGTCTATGTCATTGCTCATATAACACAAAGTGTAGAGAAATGAACTCACCTGTCATACTGATACTGTCCCAGTGAATGGTCATACGGGTAATACGCAGCCGTTTGAGTGATGCCAGAGTGTAAAGTGCCTGTGCTGTCCTTGATGTCGTACTGTGGATTCTGTAAAAGACAATAAGGTGCTTTTAAGTATGCAACATTCTGACATCCTTTCAAAGTTTATATTGACAATATTCTTATATATAACAGACTTAACTTGTCTTTGTGCTGTTCAAAATAATGAATAACTCTTAACATGAGTAATGCAAGCAAATAAATCATTCCCATTCAACACATCAGTTTGCTTGACTAGAAAAGGTTAAACACTCTTATAGGATAATCATTTTAAGAAATACTTTCTTTCTTTAGGTTTCCTGCATTTTTAAAACGTTTTTTTTTCTAAACAAGTGTAATGTTGACATGGAGATTTCCTTTTTTTGCTCACATCAGGTATTGGAATAAGATAGAAATAAGAAATAAAGTTTTAGTAACACTGCCAAATGTTAGTTTGACAAGTAATTTAGTCCTTCATCCACTCAAAAGTCGTACTCTTCCACAATGGTGAATTCTGACAGTGGAGTTATATTTAACATTCCAATATTATTTTTCATTTTCAAAGAGGAAGATATATTTTTATATAATAAGTTGAATTCAGTGTCACAAGCTAAACTAACTTCTGCACTACTTCCCTTCATCCTGTATGACAGGTTTCTGACTTTGTGCAGACTGGATGCTGGATTAAGCGACATGCCCGCTCAGATCATGATGGAAGTGACCGATAAAATTGATTAACAAAACCTCGTTGATCTAATCGATCATGTTGAGAGCCCCCCTCCCCACGTTTAACGCATCAAATGAACCCACCAGAGTGGAGTAGATCGCGGATGGGTCGGTGCTGTAGGGGAAGTAGTTGGCGTAGTTCTGGCTGGCTGCTGCCGCTGCTGCGTATGGAGAGCTGTACATGCCCAGCGCTGCGTTCAGCTCCGTCCGGCTGCTCGCCAGGAGTCGGTTCTCGTAGGACGGACAGCAGAAGGAGGCGGCGGCAGCGGCGGTCTGGGAGCCGCCTGTCCCGTCAGAGACCGACCTGGAAATCGAATCGCAGCAAGTCGTACTGGGGTTTGCCGACACGAAAAACTGCATGAAGAGAACCGTGGATAGAAATGGTCATTGGCTGTGTCTGTTCTTATCTGGATGATGACTATGCTAACTCTGAAGTGACGGCACTGCATATAGAAGTCGAAGTTTAGTTGATCAATCGTGTGCTTAGTCTGAATGTTAAACCCGAAGAAAGAACGTGTGAGCGTGTTTCGTTTGTTTTTGTTCACATCGGTTCACTTTCATCAATCACGTGTTTTTATCCTCGCGAGTGACCTGCCTTTATTTAAGGTAAGTCACTACAGAAGATTGTGATAACGAGAAAAAAGTAGCTCACACTGTGATCAAGTGTAATAGCCAGCTTGACATCCTTTTATTCTCATTTTTAAAATCAAAATGAGAATGAAATGCTGCATGTCAATATATTTGTGATCAATATGGTGTATTTTAGTGGAAGATGGAAAGAGATGTGCGTTATCTGTGTGTACAAGTGATCTCCTCCAGTTCATCATCGGCTTTAACATTTGTAATTAAATTTGGGATGGGAAAAATCTGAAGTTTTCAATGTTAGCTGAATTTCCCCTATAATCTAAATGCACACGCTTTTGGTATCATATCAAATCAGCCAAACTTTGAAAAATAATGAAGTTGGGTGACAACTTTTCCATGAGTAACTTTTGTCCCATGATCGACTTGAACTTCCCTGAACTTGACATTAGGCGCAAAATGAACTTATCAAAATGTAAATAAACAACTTTAATCAAGTCTACAAAATCTTCCAGGGTGATGAAATGTGTCTAACGTTCTGTTTGTCTCAGTTATTTGATGAGAAAGTAAGAGCCGCACGCAGCACGGTGCAATTACACCTCGTATAGTGAGCAATAGGTGACATTCATCTCTATTGTCATCAGAAAAACACGTGAGTTCATTCATAATTCAGTGTAATTGGACACGGGTGCGTGTATATCGATATTTGGATCAACAACAAACGCAGCACCCGAAAATAGCTGTCAATACCGCCAAAGCATTCACTCATTCAGGATGTTTCTATAGAAAAGTGCTATGACTTTACCGGAATTGAAGAAAATGTACAAGATGAAAAAAGCTATTTGAATGTGTGTGTACACTAAAGTTAAGAGAAATAAAAAAGAGCGTCTTACCTGTGAAGTTGCATTGTAAGGGTATCCAAATTGCGAGAAAGACATAGCTGCTTCTTTTGTTACCATCAGCAATATTCTTCACCCTTGATCGATTGCAACCAATTCTACTTCAAATCCACCGTCTTCCACACATTTCCACGCACGGCCTTTCGCTCAATAATAGATGACTTCACTCATAGGAGGGAGACTTTAGGCTGGCACCAGCTGCAGATTGTTTTATATGAATGAATAATCCCCCCCGAGGACCCGATAAGAAATGAAATTAAGCGTCATTAAGTGCAAAAAAAGTGTTGTTGTGTTAGCTGAAGGAGGCTTAAAGGATAACGTAAGACTTGCAAGATATGGACTCTGCTTGTGCTATTATTTGTGGCTCTATAGTTCTTTAGCATTCATCCATGCAAGGGTATCAGCGTGACGTCACTGTAATCCCGGAACGGCAGGGTACCAAGGATGGAATAATGTCTTTGCCAATCACGTCCAACGCAGGCTTTTCTTGAGGTGCACTGTACACAGTGTTGTACAGCGTTTGTAATAGAATTCTTCACCGATTTGCTGCGATAAAGGCTCGGGAAATTGTTTTTATTGTTCATCATTATTGAATTGTAGCATGGCAACGCTTGGAAACACTTTGTGAGGTTAAATGAATAAGGGAAAAAGAAAGAGTGAAGAAATATTTCAAAGAGTTATAGCTGACATACATTCATTGGAGAGGTTATCTTTTTTTTTTCTTTACCAGGCATGTATTCATTTACGATATTTATTTACTTCACAAAAATGTAAAGTGTTTTTTTAATTTATTTTCTATTATAGTTGTGTATTTTTAAATATTTTTTTGTATGTGCAATCTGTCACAATTAAATCTGTTAAATCTGACGGAATCAACACTTTTTTTTTGACTTTTTTTCCCTCCCCTTTTTTAATCCCGACCTCTGTTCGCCTCTGGCTCTGTGGCCAGAGGTCCATCCCGGAGTTAATGACGATGATGTTTCTATCTTTCTCTATTAGAGAGAAGGGTAGTCCCAGCAGCAGCGGTTAGAGGGCTTTTTGGCAGGTCAATAGACCAGTGATTGATGCGCGCCTGGAGACCTACGTGACCATTACGCGTAATGCGTAATTGTATCAATTAACAAATGGATACATGCCCTTGTTTAACCAACGAGTAACAGAGTGAAAATATGCCTTAGAGGTGAAATCCGAAGAGCTGTTGTGGATAAAAAAAGACAGTGGAAGCCCTGCTCTCCAGTCTAATTAAATATCAGTGGATGGGGGCGACGAGAATTGCATTTTAATTGAATGATGCTCACTTGAAAGATGGGTAAGGAATGATGCTGCCTCACAGTGAATGAAACGAGAAATAATTTTAAGCCTTATTAGATCAGCAGCTAAAGCATCAGCATCTCGCGCGCACTCACATAAACATAAACAAGCTACCCCCCCCCCCCCCCCCCGTGATGCTGAGCTGGGAAAGGGAGGGAGGGGTGTATAACTTCCCCCTATACAAACAATATTTTTATTTACAGTGACAGCGATGAGGAGTCCCACCGAGTCACATGATCTGCCTGTTTCTGACTCTATGGCTGTGTAAAGTTTCCCTTGTCACGACAGATACCTCGTGCCACATTTCCCGGTGCCCTGCCCTTCATCTCTGATGTATGGCTCTTCTTACCTCAGAGACTTGTCTGCGATTATGGGCTTTCTCTCCGAGGGGCGCTAAAGAGCCGCGCGCAGGAGATGATGATCTCTCGTCGAAAGATTGTCCACAGAGATGCAGTGGACAGAGCCTCTGGTCATGGTCCAGACTCCGGAAAGATCCTGGGAAATAAACACACACAGGCAATAGAAACTCTCTCACACACAAAGTCTTTGGTTCTGCTGATTTCTGCTGACAGGCAACTATGAGCTACACATCTTCAACATAAAGCTTTATTCCCCAAGTTACAAACTATATCATCCTTTAAAGCGGTGAAGTTATACTTGGAATAAAACAAACCTTTAACTTCTAATTGACCAATTTATATGTTGTTTTAATTTCCTCTTCTTCTTTATTTTACATCTCACTTTGGCTTAGCCAGGCTGAATCTGCACCCATCATTTTTTAAGTAAAAAAAACCTGACAAAATATAAATAATCATTCTATCTTCAAATGAAAGGGGAATGTCGCCTTGATAAAGAAATATATGATTGTGATATCAGAAAAAAACATAGAGTAAGTGAAGACAAAGGGTTACAAAATAAAGGGACTGTAATATTTGTTGGTCATTTGTTGTTTGCGCTCAAATGTCTGAATGAGCAAAACAATGTGTCTCCAAAACAATTTCTTCTCAAGGGACAGTAAAAACAGCCCTGTTTTCGGATTTGTGAACATGTAATTTGAGATTATCCAGAGGGTTTTTAAGTTGTTTATGGATCTTAAGAAGTAGGAGAATTTTGTCAGCCCCTTACCAACACTTAATCCTCTAGTTTATCTGAAAATTCAAGATCCCCAAATTAAGTCATACATAGTTTTAACCCAGTCAAATTAAAAGGGAATAACAAAGAAGTAAACGATAAGCACGGTTAACATTCTAAACATTTCATTAACTCTTGATGACAGGTACCAGAAGAGTTTATCTGAAGGCTGCTAACTTGCCTAAAAGTTTATTTCATAGGAGAATGTGCACATAGAGAAGGTTGAAACAAGCTAAATGTAATTGCATGCCGGTGGTCGATGCATTTCTACAAGGGCATGCATGATGGCCAAGTGCATATGGACAGACTCATGCATAATGTATGTCCAGCAGTCAGCATAGATCTCCCAGAATCTGGCCCAAATGAGCACTAATTGTACTGGCAGGCTGACCACAGTGCCCTTCCCTCTAAAATGTGTGACAACCCCACAGTGAGACACTTTTTTTCCTTACAGTGTTTTGTCTGGATTACTTAGTGATCACATTGTAACAAGGTTTTGTTTTTTTAGAAGCTAAATAGCTGACAATGGCAATTAGTGAGTCCTCTTTCTCAGATGTTTTTTTTCTTTGTGAGTAGAATTGCTTTAGCAAAGTCTGCCTCCTTTGACATTTAAAAGGATTATTTGATATGAATCATATGGAAACAATATTGCATCAGAAAGAACAACTTTTTAAGCAGCAGGATGATGTAGTAGTAATCCTTAAAGTGCTGGGTCCTGTTGGAATCCAAGTGCTTGATCACATGCACAATTTGACTTTAAATCAGATAGAGTGTATATCAAGTCTGGGCTGTGTTCAAAAAAAAAAAGAGAGAACAGAAGGTTTCTTTTCTTGTCTCCTTGTTGATTTGAAAATGAGCAAAAAGTTAAGATAATGTCTACAATATTTGATGCATACTCAGGGATCATAGGCGGGACCATTGAACCTGCTCTTTTATTGGTCTTTTTGGTGGACTATCAAAGGATCTTACTCTGTAATAATCTAACTGAAGTAGCGTGGCCTACTCGAGCCTTCTGGCAAGGAGTCTCAGTCTTTTGAATTGGAACAGTGACCGCCCACTCTCTTTTGGCAGGTTGATTTGTGAGGTCATGCAATTTCTCAAAATGAAAAAGATAAGATGCACACCGTGGGGATCGAGTAGGGAGTTTGTTTAAGTTTGACAGCCTTTTATTTGTTATGTGGAAAGTCTGAGGCTTAACTCATGAAAAACAATGTTTTTGTCTAGATACTACTACTGTGTGAACTGGCATTTTTCATTTTCTTTCTTTTTTTGCGGTCTTGTAGTTCTATGATTTTCTATATTGTTTGGTTTAGACGCTCCTCTATTCAGTATGTCTGTTTATGTGAAAAATACAATAAAAATGGTGATAAAAAGTTGAGATAGTTGAAAGAAAGCATGCACCTAAATACAGAATCACTTCAGACAAACAGCTCAAAACACAGAGTGAAAGAGCGTCCAAATAGTCTTCAACTGAGGAAGCTGCTTGTTATTAACTCAGACTGCTAAGGCCTGAATGAAGCTTCAGCTGAACTTGAGAATACTTATTGCACTGAACAAGACTTAACTTAAATCAGACAGCAACAAACTGTAAAAGCTGGAAATAGTAGACAAACCAGTTGACTTATAACTGCTCATGTACTATAACATTTAACCACTAGCAGACAAAAGCATTCCCCCCTACAGTACATTCAGTCACGTTATTTGAAAATAAGCAAGTCGAAACCTCCAGTATATCTTGTTCTAACGGATCCCTGTGGTTACTAATGAGACGCAGTTATGCACGCATCCTCCATTAGAAGCATCACTGGGTGGAAAAAGAAAAAAAAACCTGGAAAGGTTAAGTCAACACTCAATAGCTCACAGCCCTATTCTCCTACTTAATACATTTCCTATGCTGACTTAATGAACCACACAAAGCCTTTCTGGTTTTTCATCAGATGGGGGGTGGCAGCAATGGAAGGGTTGGGGTGGGTGGGGGGGGGGGTGTGGGTTGTATGAAATGGTAATAAGGGCAGACAGACGAAGAGACAGAGGGAGAAAGCCCGAGCTGAGCAGGGGATGAAGCTGCACCTACCCGGAGGTGTGTGATCTCATTAAAGCCAAATTGGTATATGCCAATAAATCCAAGGCACTTGTGATCTGGAATTATTACACATGCACACATGCACTGCATACACACAAATTTCCCCCCATGATGAGCATTAATAACACAGCAAAATTATCCAAAATGGAAAGAACAGTAATAAATATTGTAATGAGAAATAATGGCGGATATGGTCACGGCTGTGGTCGGTTTACACCGAAAACAAATATCTCCAGGCCTGTAGAATAATGACAGCACGCGGAGGGAGTCATTAAAGCTTCTTTAAACAGAGAGAAAGAAATAGGGTGAGTATGACATCATGACGTCTGTCTTAATTAATCAATCTGCTGCAGAGAAGAACTGGATGATAACTGTTGTGATTAATTAAAAGTTTGAATGCTGTACGAGTCATGCCACGGCGCTGCAGTGTGCTTTGATTAAAGATAGACAATGTGTATTTATTTTTAAAAAGAACATAATCACACACATATCCATTGGCTTTTGTTTTCCACAATTGAAACACAAATCTCCACTTTTATGGACAGGCATAATTGGTGTTTCCTTTATAACCTCGCCACTTTGATTGCTTGTAGTCTGATGTTTAACTCAAACAAACCCTAGGCATTTTGTGTTGGGAGGCACATATCCCAGAGGC